TACTTTACATATTATTAAAAAAGAATTTATTTAAAATAATAATAATATCACATTATTCTTATAAAAAAATTTATTTAAATTTTAAATATGAATAGAATTTTTTTTTAAGAATATGGTGTAAATAGAGGGTAAATAAAACAATAACTAATCTAGATATGAAACGCAAAACGGAATAATTACTCCACAATGCCAGACCCGCTATAATAGTGGGACCATGCGCCACGTAGGGTGATATCCCACCCACCAACCGACCGATCAAAAGCGTCACTAAAACTTCAATTAATAACTTGCAGTGTACACGATCTCAGCCCACGACCTATATATATACACCTCTCGTCACGCAGAGCGAAAATCATTCCTAGGTTTCTCATTCAAATCGTCTCTGAAATTCCATGTAGAGAGAGAAGGAGAGAGAGAGAGAGAGAGAAGGAAGGGCAGCGTGGAGCTCTGGAGTCGAGCTTTGGCCGTCCGTGGCGCCTTTAGGTTATGCCGTTAACGCCACAGGTTCCCTTAATTTCTATCTCTCTCTATATATATTCATTTCCGTACATGTGTATATGTATATGTGTAATTGAATTGTGTATTTGCGTATATGATCTTGTATGTATTGTTTCATGTACGTGGAGGTGTTGATGATTTGTGTGTATTGGAATTGAATCAGATCTATGCTGATTGATTATGTTTCCCCAAGATTCGTTTTTTAATTCGTTTGAGGAGGTTTCAATTGGTGTTAGGGTTTCGTCTGTTACAATTGAGTTTTTGTTCTGGATTGTGGATTTGGTGTTATTTTTGCTTGCTTAGGTTATCTTACGGTTTGAATTGGATTGTGGCTTTCGATTTAGGTTGTTTTTTATTTGAGAAATTTTATTTATTTGTTTCTAGGGGTTCATAGGAGTTGGGGTAATCCCCTGAATCCTGATGGTTCTAGGTTTTTATTATGAGGATTTGTGATTTGAATTGTGGCTTGGCTGCTGGAATGGAGTTCATATTGATCAACTATTAATTTTGTTTTTGATTTGAATTATTAATCTGATTTTTGATTTGATGAATTAAAATTGTCCTAATAGATTTGTCTTTAAATTTCTATTACAGTATTGCTATTTTCCGCTTGTGTGTATGATGGCATCTCTGAAAAATAGGTTGTTTTAGCTTTAGTATTTCTGAATTTGCGTTTAGTGGTGGGGAGTTTGACACTGTTGAGAATATGTTGGAAGTGAGACATTTATATTAGGAGCTGAGTAAGATGGTTGCATTTGTGTTTTACTCACACACTTGGTGTAAAAAATAAAGTTAGATTGTGTTTGGTAGAGTTTTGTAAATATGATTTGAGAATATGAGTTGTATTTTGAGTTTGTGAGTTTTGAAATTATGATTTGAGGGTAGAAAATTTATTTGGTGAATGAGTTTTGAAAAGAGCTTTTGAATTGAGTGATGTGACATAATTTTCGATACAAAAATTTACAACTCATAACCAAACACACAACCCAAAATTCTATTCAAAACTCTTAAAAAATTAAAAAAAAAAAATTGAAAATATTTTTTATTTAAAATATAAAAATACCAAGTGAAAAAAACAAATAAAAAAAATTCAAGAACACTGTTCCATTCAATCGGCCGGTCAACCGGTCGGACGACCGTCCGGGGGGACATCTGGGTACACGAATTTTCAAATGCGGGTGTGGAAATGTGTTTTGAAAACTGTAAACAAACGCCGCATTTAAACTAAAAGGTAGAATCATGATTCAAAAGTTGTACCGAATACAGCCTTATGCTTTTATAAATATTATTTTCTAATCGACACTTGAAAAACCAGGGCAAAACAATTGTCCTTAGGGATCCAATAGGCCAAACCAAATGCTTGATTCAAACATCCAACCAATTAAAACTTACCAAATGGATTACTCATTTCTAATTAATCAATGAATCATAAATCATCCACACAATGTAAATAACATGAACCACAACCTATGAAGCACATGTATGGGTACGAGATACGGTGTGGCTTCGATGATAAGGTAAAATCTAAAAAACCTGGGTATGTTTGTAAAAAATATTTGCTTTTAATTTGGAGTAATGCGGAAATTAGGTAAATGGTTTAGTTGGTTAAGATCTAACCTATAATTCACATTTAATGTCAAAAGTAAGTTATAAACTGAAATTAAATGAAGTTATATTAAATAATTTACGAACCAAAGTTTAATTTTAAAATCATGCTAAGCTTGAAAAACATTCAATGAAACAAACTTCACCTCTTTATAAAATAAAATAAAATATTATTTCGGCTAACGTGCGGCTTGGGTATATATTAGGTACCTCTGGGATGCAGAAAAAATTAAGAACAAAAAATTTGGCACGTGTTTTGTATACCCGGTACGTATGCAAAAGTACCATGCAAATTACATATTTAATACGGGTACGCCATGTTTGTTGAAGTACCCATGCTTCATAGAACACAACATACATATGGAAAATTGTTTGGAAAAAAAACACACAAGGGCTCAAATAAATGATTTACAATGCAACTATAGGTGCATTGGTCTAGATATTTCCCCCTTCAAACACCCAAGCTCGAACTCCGCCTCCAATTAACTCAAACACCTTTGTTAACCTTCTCTTGTTTAGATCTTTGCTTACTCACAGATACAATTTCAATCGACCAGTTGGCTGGAATAACCAATTACTAGAGTGATCTAAGTGTGTATGATATGAGTAATTTTTGCAAAACAATTAGAGAAGAGTTTTATTAATCCGTTTGCGCATGAATAAATTAGGTCTTCTTCTTTAACTACATATAGATTAGGTCTCCTAGGCATTTGAAGGCTTTAGCAATGTTAGGGTGAATGGCTTTGTGTATCTCTGTCCGTGTTATAGCCTGCTCAAGTACATACCTACTTGAACGCCCTTCAGGCATGTCATGTCAGTGTTTTTTAAGGCGAAAAGCGAACCGAGGCGACAAGGTCACCTAACGCCTAAGCGCGAGGCGACGAGGCGAGGCGAGGGCTTCATCGAAGCGAGGCGACCAGAAATGATATTTTTTCAAAATAAATGGTATAGACAAAAATATAAATATTTTCAAGAACCATCATGCAGTTATCATTCCAAATACTAAATATCCATAAACAAAAGAAAATATCCAACAAAAACAAATACAATCCACCAATCCAAAAGTTCTAAAAATCATCTTCAACATCAAGCAAATGAACTTCTTCTTCATTATCATTGGCTTCAGCATATCCCTCTGCATCTTCTTCCTCTCCCCCATCTGAAATTGACTCTTCCTCATCAATAAGTTGCAATCTAGGTCTAGCTGCTGATTTTGAAGTTGAACAACCCCTTTCTATTGCCCTTGTTGATCTAGTTCTTTGACTACTTTCCTCAACTCCAGCAGCTCTAGCAACATCATCCCATGTCAAAGTATCATCCTCAAAGACAAGTTCCTCCTCCATCCTCCCAACCAACCACTCGTTACTTTCATCAATATCCGTCAAAGCAATGGGATCAATAGTGTCACGGGAATTGTATCGACGTCTCAATGCTCTATTATACTTAACAAATACCAAATCATTCAGACGTTTTTGAGCTAACCTATTTCTCTTTTTGGTGTGAATCTGCAAAAATTCAAACCAAATAAAAATATTCAAATTTTTATCTAGGTATTAATAAATTTAATGGTATTCATATTCACTATAGTTAAAAATAGGTACTCACATGTTCAAACACACTCCAATTCCGTTCACATCCAGATGAGCTACAAGTTAGACTAAGAATTTTGATGGCGAATGTTTGCAAATTTGGCGTTTCAGAACCATATGCACTCCACCAATCAGCTGTTGATTATAACTAATTAATTAGAAATAAGTATAAAATATAGATCACCTGGTGCCCTTGAAGTTTTTTGTCTAATGGCCAAAGCCATCCCAAAGAGACCATCGGCTTTCTTATAGGTAGTCAACTCTGCGCAAACTTTATCTTGTGTCTCATTATAAAGTCATGGAGAAAGTGTGCCTTTGGGCAGACTGCTTCCAGTTTCGGGTTTTCTCATTCCAACAAGTGCTTGATTGGCGGTGTTTTGTTCTTGGAGATTCCCTTCTTGTTTCTTTTCTCAACTGCACTTAGTGGACAGTTTCTTTTGAATGAAAAATACAGCAGGCGTAATGCAATTTTTTTCTGAGATTGGTGTTGGATCTTTAGTGCATGTCTATGAGTAAGCTACATATTCACTTCTTCTAAACCAGGCATTATATGCTAGCATTTTCTGACAAATTTTCTACTTGTAGTGCATTGTTGATACAACATCCAGTTGTGATCCTTGGCGAAACCATCTTCTGGGGTGCGGATTTACTTGCATATTTCAATTAATTTGTTTATCTTTAATTTCTGTCAGATGTCACTAACCTTATCTTTTGTCTCTGTTATATTTTTTCTTTGATCACAGGGTTGAAGTCTACAAACAAACCGATGATACTTTCTACTTAGTTCATAATAGAAACTTGTTGCACTGAATCCGCACAGAGTTGTAGTTCTTAGCTTTTATTTTCATCTTCTCTACTGATGGCTACTGGTTAGAGTGATGACATAATCCGTAACTGAAGATTTTGCAAGATCTTTTACATAGCAAAGCTGAGCTAGCTGTTATCACGTTTGTGATTGTGTCAGTTGACTGTCCTGAGCAAAGAATCCTATGAATTTGCTAAATCATACTCTGGCTTGATCAGTTCTTGGGTTGTTATCAAGATGGTTTTCAGTGCTCGACTTTTCCATCTATATATGCCTTACCGTTGTCTCGGAGCCTTCGTTCTGGTGTATTTTATGAATAAGGCTGTGAAGGCCATCCAGCAGATATGTACTGGTTCTTTGCTCATACATCATGCCACAGAAATTTGATGGTGGATTCAGATAGATCAGCCAGGCGGTTAATTTCCATTTCTTAGTTTTTTTTAAGCCATATAACAAAGTAAAAATCATAGATTTTTCTATGTGCCATTCTTTTCTTGAATAAATAAAACATCTGGAGCTGTTGAATCACAAGAATGGAGAGGTACGTCTGTTTATGTAATCTTGTTTAGCACTATTTCTATTTTGATTTTTGTTGGGTTCAGTAAGGCAGTTCTGGGTGGTACAGGTACAAGATAATCAAAGAAGTTGGTGATGGAACGTTTGGGAGTGTTTGGCGAGCATTAAATAAGCAGACTGGTGAAGTTGTAAGTTCATTTATGTTTCATGTTGACCTTGTATATGAATCAAGAATTTCTTCATTCTGCTGTTTCAATTTAATCGTTTATTTTAACAGGTTGCGATTAAGAAAATGAAGAGAAAATATTATTCTTGGGAGGAATGCATAAATTTGAGAGAAGTTAAGGTAACATAATATACTGTTTCATTGTGTTGGTTTTGGCTTTAATCTCTATATATCTATATTGATGCTAGATTTGTTCGTTTTCTTGGCAGTCATTGCGAAAAATGAACCATCCTAATATTGTGAAGCTGAAGGAAGTCATTAGGGAAAATGACATTTTGTATTTTGTGTTTGAATATATGGTATGTGGCTTCTCTTATTCAGGCCATATCCTCATCATTTGATTACACATTATCAATTGTGAAATGCCATTTTTTATGTTTCAGGAATGTAACCTATATCAACTAATGAAAGACAGGGGAAACCTTTTCTCAGAAGCTGAAGTCAGAAATTGGTGCTTCCAAGTGTTTCAGGGACTAGCATACATGCACCAGCGAGGATATTTTCATCGTGACCTTAAGCCAGGTAAATGTTGCTCTTGCTTGTGTCTGATGTGAAAATGGTGCATCTGGTTTTTGTGTCAGGATTTTAATGTCTTGTTGATCTGACTACTGAATAGTAAATTTGTTTGAGATTTAACATCGGAATGTCTCAGTGTCAGTTGATAGGTTAAAAATAGAAAGGTTAAACAAATTTCACATGTGCACCGCACCATGCAGAGAACGTGCTGGTTTCAAAAGATGTAATAAAAATTGCTGATTTTGGTCTTGCTCGCGAGATTAGTTCTCAACCACCATATACAGAATATGTCTCAACACGCTGGTATGTGGTAGTTTACCCCCTCCCCCCTCACCCCACCCTCTCTCATTTTGATATTCAAATTAGTGAACACATATTTTTGCTCTTCTTGTGTATTTGAAGATAAATTATGGACTTGGCAGGTATCGTGCCCCGGAAGTTCTGCTTCAGTCTCCAATGTATAATTCTGCAGTTGGTGAGTAAATGATGGAGAAAGCATTTTTAAAAACTTGTTTAATGATAATGACTAATCCCCCCTCCCTCCTTCCTACCATCAGATATGTGGGCAATGGGTGCAATCATGGCTGAACTGTTTACTCTCCGTCCCCTTTTCCCAGGCTCAAGGTGTATATCTCATCTTTTTGAATCCTTTGCATTCATTGTTACAAGCAGTGAGGAGGAGATATTATATAATGCTTTAGGTTTAAGTTCTGCTTTAGTTGTCAGATTGGGATTTGAATCGTGAATCAAAATGGTCTTGTACTGAATTGCAAATCGAATCGAATCAAATCATGAATCGTGAAGATTCAGTGATTTTTTTTAAACTACATAGAAAATATGTCCAACTTTTTAGCTCTCTACCTCTTCTGTGGTGGCGGCCTAATTGCCCTGTTTTAACACATGTTGCAGTGAAGCAGATGAGATCTACAAAATATGCAGCATAATAGGCACTCCAAATGAGATTGAGTGGACCAAAGGCCTTAAACTTGCAAGTGCTATTAACTACCAGTTCCCACAGGTCAGTTGATCTTGGTTTATCTTTTACTCTGTTGTGCAAATTCATTTGTGTATTCTGAGATATGTTACCTAGAACATGGATCATTCTAGTACGAGGAACGCGAATGTGGTATGCCACATGCTCTAAAATGTGGGACGATAGAGATAGACTTCTTAATTTGACATCCAACATATTATAGTGTATTTTTCTTCAAATTAGTTGTTCAACAACACAATTCTATGAGCATTATTATGACCCATTGTTTTACATTTTGTCAACCCAAAACATCACTCCATCTAGATTTTAGTTCATTGTATTTGACTTTTTTCCTATTAAGGAAAACTTTTAAAGTTTTAATGAACATAGAAACAGTTATGAGATCACTTTGAATTTCTAAATTCACTGTTTTGGAATGAAAGTATACCATGTTTCGGAAAGTGCGTTCCAAAATGTAAATTGCCAGGAGGTGAGCTTTTTCTGGTAACTTTGATTTTGAGGCACTCCATTCAAGTCATGTTTAAAATCTTCCACATTGTGGAGTAGCTTGTATGATTGAGCTTTCCTAACAATGCAAGCATTATGTGGTTTAGGCCCACTTCTTTGGCATACTATAGAATTTCTTGCTGTTTGTATGGGAATATGTTTTTTGAGGCTATAAAAAGAATGTTTGTAATTGTAGTCACTTGGTTGTACTTGTGTAGCAGTTGACTTTTTTGCTACTCGAGTACATCCTTATGATATGCACTAACTTGGAATGTCATATCATTTAGCAGATGTTGATATTAATTTTTTCCTTCTTTTTGGTAAATATGAGCAAGGTTTTGAAAGATGTTTGATCTGACATGACAGCTAACTGGTGTCCATCTTTCTGTATTGATGCCATCTGCTAGTAAGGATGCAATCAATATTATTACAGTAAGTATGAGGTCTTTTGAAACTTGCTCCTAAATTGTGCTGGATGTGTTATGAATATTGGTTTTTGTTTACCATCATCCTATCTTCTAATTAAAATTTTTTTGCTCCCCAATTTCTCTCCAAACATCTAGTCACTTTGTTCCTGGGATCCTTGCAAGAGGCCAACAGCCTTGGAGGCCCTCCAGCATCCGTTCTTCCAGGTGGCAAAGCTTTTCCTTTTCACCATACATCTATTATCGCAAGTGTGCAGACTGAAATGTGCACTGTTAGGTCTTTTGCATTTAAGTAGTTGTGGCTTTAGTGATCTTAGAATTGAATTGCATCCTTTGATGTGGCAGAGTTGCTTTTACATTCCACCATCTCTTCGCTCCAAAACTGCTGTCACTAGAACACCTCTATCTGGTTTGGCTTCTTCCATACAATTTTGTCTTCCTTGCACAATGAATGAAAAATTGTGGACCCTAATTTGTTAAGCATGTTGCAGTTGGAACAAGGGGTGCCTTAGAGCAGAAGTCTGTTGGGAGGTATTCTGGGACTAAATCAAGGCCAGTAAACAACTTTCCTCCTGCCAAATCCCATGTGTCTCTAACAACAGGTGATATGTTGCTGATGATTTTGAGAATGCTGCATTTATCATCAAATCTTGTATCTTTTCCCTTCTCTCCTCTTGTTGCAGTTCAGAAAAAAAAAACTAGTTCTGCCTTTGTTGCAAATTTTTTTGGGCTATACACTATTATATACAACTTAGTACTCTCTAGATTCGTATCTTACCTTAATGATTGTTGCAGGTGTGCAACGTAAGTTGGAAATGAATAGTCAGGTAAGGGCAGAAACTTATTACATTCTTTTGCATCTCTCTCGTGTTCACTGATGGTTTTGATGATTAATTTGTTTGCACTTTATTGATCTTTTTCCTGTTCTTTTCTTTTATTTTCCCCGTCTTTTTTGGTGCTTAGGATGCAATTAAGAACAATAATGTTTCAAAGATCGTTGCCAAACAACAGCCAAGATACCGACCACCTGCAAGAAACAGTCCAAGTACGTGTTGTTTGTTCACGAGCATTTATTCCTTTTTCTTGCATTTATTCTTTTGTGGTGTGCATTTTACATGGTGTTGTGGGAGGCTATGTTTACATGGACTGTTCAAAATAAATAAAATACCCATATCGGACACTTGACACTTGGACAAGGGTGTGGGATTGATAATTTCCATCGGACACTTCTTATATTTTGTATTTAATACTATCATTATATGTATATATTGTTGTATAATTGCTATAAAATGAGTAAAATATTTTTTTGACACTGTATGTTACATGTAACATCATTTTATTTCACATGATAGATTAAAAAAATGAAAACGATCATTTTTTGCTGAGTCCGGATACCTTTAAATTTGAGGTTTTATGGGTCCAACCTCTAGATATGCAGCCTCACACATACCCATATCTGGCACTCGTCTGCTAGTCCGTGTAACATAGGTGGGATGTGTGAGATAAATGCAATTGACAACTACCTCGTGTCACGTGAATCAATCGTGCACAAATAATTATTGTACTGGTTGATGGTTTAATTGTTTTATTATTATTGATATTTTTTAATCTTTGTATTCATTATTGTCAAGTAAATGATTATTAAGAAGTAAAATCAACAGACAAACAATCATAGATGTTTACTTGGGAATGTTGTTAAAAGTACAGATTTGAAGTGCACTAAAATTTGTTGAGCCCATTATAGTTTTATTTATTTTATACTGAATACGTTGATATACATTTTTTTGGCAGCCTCCATTTACAATGGAAAGACTGCATGGGGAGTTTCAGAGACAACTCAGAAGTTGGCAAATATAACTGTTGGTCCTGCTAGGTTGCCTGGAAGGCAGGCCTTTCCGGCACCTATGAAGGCTGGGGGATGGCACAGCCAATCTGACTTGTTTCTTGGGCGCTCTCAGGAGATTCAGACTGGAAGAACATTCACCAGGAAAGTTGCGGGATGAAGAGTTGTGCTCTGTTGAGATGTGGTAGTGAGTTTAATAAATGGGTGTTCTGCTTTATATAAGTATTTTCTTGTGTAGCTTGCCCAGTGAAGTTTGTCTAGTGTGTGATGTTTGAAATTTACATAAGCCCCGCTACGAGGGGTGGTTGATCCGACAGTTTTTAAGTCTGCCTATCAAAAAATATGTTACCTAAGTCACGTTATTACGAGGGATTGTTGTTACAAGTGATGCTTCTATGAATATTTTGTCTTATTGTGCTATTTTCTTATGAAGATTGCAGTTTGTTTGGGTTGTGTACAATCTTTGAACTGCTGCTTGGTTGAATTTGATTACCGACAATCTATTTGCTGCTTTGTCTCCCTTTCCAGAGACTGGTTTTCTGCAGGCGAATTTGTTTGCTGCTTAGAATTGCATGCGGAGACAGGATGCTCTGTCTGGAACCTTCTTTGTCCTAAGCCCCCTCTACACTCGATAGGTCTTTGACCTTAATTGTATGGTCGAGAGAGAGGCCTTCGAAAAAGGGGAGGGAGGAGATACGGACAGAGGGCTCCTTGCCTTGTATGTGTTGTTTGAAGGGACAGCTATTTTGTTAACTTTTGTGATGTTAATAGCTCATGGAAGCCAATAATGGAGATTGCCCCCAAAGCAAAGGCACAAAAGTTCAAAGCAGGTGGCCCCAACACATTAGTGCCAGGGAGCAAGCAATTTTAAGGCTGGACTGTTGCTTTTAATTTATGAGTTTTCATGAAAGTTTACTATTCATAGTTAATTTACTGATTAATGAAGCTTTTGGGATAAGAAGAGGAGATCTAGCTTCCAGTTATCTGTCTTATCAATAAAGTTGTTAGTATCCAACTCCACCTTCTCTAGATTAGCTGTTTAGTAGTGTTGCCTTTCTGGCACATGTGCGGTAAATTTTTTTTATGTTCTTAGGGTAAGGTGACTCATACAAATTGGCTTTCGAAGCTCCGAGTGACGAGGTATGTTGATTTTATTTTATTATTTTTTTAGTATTATTATTATTTTTTTATGTTGATTGTGGTGAGTGAAAAAATTAAAGAAACATAAAATACGGAAATTAAGGCTGTATTTGGTTTGTAATTCAAATCATGATTTCACATTGTGTTTCTAAACAATGATTTTACACCCGTATTTCAATGGAAAATGTTTGGTGGCCACAAATTTTGTGGCTTAAATGGCCTGAAAATGTCAAAACGGCATCGTTTTTGCATTTTCGGAGTTGTTTTGTACTCAAAACGATGTCGATTTGACATTTTTGGGTCATTTGAGCCACAGAATTTGTGTTCACCAATCATTGTCGTATTTCAAATGATGTTTGGAACGAATTCTCAAATCACATTTTCACAATTCTGCAGAAAACTCTATGGGGCGCGTTTCTCAATTTTTTTTTTTCAAATCTGGCCTAACCGGTTGTCCCACCGGATGTCTTACCGAACGTCCCATCGGCAAATTGATCGAAACAGTGCAATTTTTTTTTTTTTGCAATTGACATGTTAGTTTTTATATATTTGAAAAAAATATTTTTCGAATTTTTAAAAAAATTTTATGTGCTTTAATAGAATTTTGAGTTGTATGTTTGGTTATGAGTTGAAAGTTTTTGTATCAAATATCATATGTTACATCAAAAATTTTCCATTCAATTCAAAACTCTTTTACCAAACAAATTTTTCACACTCAAATCATAAGTCCAAAACTCACAAACTCAAAATACAACTCATAGTCTCAAATTATATTTAAAAAGCTCTACCAAATGCGACCTTTCTTTCCTTACACTTTTCAAATTATGATTCCAAATCAATTTCAAAATACATTTTAAAAGCATGTTTAGTAACTAAAGAGTCTTTGAATTTTTGGTTTATCCGGTCGTTTGCTTGGACATACGCCTAGACAGTTTTTCAATTTTTGGGTTTACCCGACTATCTCCGGGACGCCTGGATGGTTGATCGGAATAATTTTTTTTTTTTTTTTAGCAACTGGGACCTAGGAGTGTTCATGGTTCGATTTCGGCCAGAGAACTTTCAATTCATCATCTGTCCGTTGGATTGGCGGATTGGAAAAAATCAGTCCACATTTGTCCGCTGAATTGACGGATGAAGATTGAGTTAATTGGCGGATGAATGCAAATCAGTTTGGCTGTTTTTACTTTTACAAATTTTGAACATAATATAACTTGTCAACAAATTTTTTGGATAACAATCAAACTCAACAAAACCAAAATATTATCAAGTAAATTGTTAAATACCAATAATAAATACATATAATAAAACCATGCATTATCAAAAATTATTTCATTATTTTTTTTATTCAAAAATTATTTAATTTGATTTTTTTTAAATGACAAAATTAAGCTTTATATTTTCCACATAAAAATACCAAATATCAACACTTATCATTTGATAAAAGGATTTTCAAATTGAAAATAAATTCTTTTTCAATTGAGAATACAAACGGAATATCTAAATAAATTAAAAATACAAAGTCTTACAAATTATTGGGGGTGCTCACGGTTTGACGGTTTGGTTGCGGCCAAAGGAACCTTAAATCCGCCATCCGTCTAAAACTTGGCGGATAGAAAAAAATCAATGCATAACCATCCGCTTGTCATTATGAATCCATCCAAAATGCGGCGGATTGATTCGGTTTGATCGGTTTGAGTGGATCGAAATATTAGCTACTCACTCTTACTGGGACCTATTATCTGGAAAAAAAAAACCAATTATATTTGTTTTTGATAATTTTTAAATGTAGAAAATATTTTTTCCCGACCAAAATGACAAAATATTTGGACATTTATTTAAAATTAACAAAAAAAAAATTGAAATAAAAATTAATTTGTCACAATAATTTTTAAAAAATAAAAAAAATAAAAATATTTTTTTAATATTTTAAATAAAGAAACATTTTTGGAATTTTTTAATTTTTTTAAATAAAAAAATTATTTTTGTCAATAATTAGTTTTTTGAATTGAATTTTAAAAAGAATTTTGTTATGAGCTTCAAATATAATTTTCAATAAAATTTTAAATCGTGTGTTTAGTTGTGAGTTATAAATTTTTGAATTAAATTTTGAAAATTCTTTTCAAAACTCATAATCAAATAACTTTTTCCAAATTCAACACTCATTTCAAAAATTTAACACTCAATTCAAAATTTAATTCCAATATTTTTTTAAAATTCGTAACCAAACAAATTTTTTCTTTTCAAATCGTAATTCCAAAACTCACAAACTTAAAATATAAGTCAACACTCAAATCATAATTCTAAACGCAAACTAAACCAAAACGCTACTAACACTTGCAACAAAATGCATCATTCCTATCTCTATGCCCATTAGAGAGAGAGAGAGAGAGAGAGAGAGCCTGTACTACTGCTTTGTCTTGGTCCTCCTCCAAAAACGGTGTATGAGTCTCCTGAGCAACAAGCCTCCAATTTCATTTTTCAAACTAGATATGATTCTACAAAGAACAAACTCGAGACATTTAAATCTTGAGCCAAATCTGAAAGCGGAAAAAACAAGGCTAAGAGAATATATATATATATTTTTTTTGTCTCTTTCAAATATGGGTATGATGACATGTGAAAGATCAGAGACAGAAACAACAAAAAAGAATATATATGTAAAATATAAAATAAAAGGCCTCCAGAAACTACACCATTACTGTATCCTTACATGGCATTCCATTCAAGTTATATTTCTATCTACTATAATAGGGCCACTGTACAGACTGAATCATCATCACAAATGCCTGACTGTCAGGGATCATCAAAGAGCATTAGGACATGATCCCGTTTCGATCCTAAAACTATTGTAGTTGATAATCGAATCGGTGGTGACTCCCTTTTAGTAAATAGATTTGCACCATCACATGCTTAGAAGCAAAATGTAATGGTTCCATTTCCAGAGAAAGTGTGCTCTAACTGCAGAATTAGCCCTGTGAAAAATATGTATATAATTCAAAGATATTGTTCTTGTATTCTCTCCCTATTGTCTTCCCACCAGGTCTTGGCATTCACCTCTCCAAACCTTTCACGGCTGTGAAAAAAGAGTGTGGAAAATAAAGATTATCGGCACACGTAGATAGAAAAAGCTTCAATCTAAAGCTGTTGTAGCAGTGTTCAATTTGAAGAAATTTGGTAGAGAAAAACTGATTTCAACATTTCATTAACTTCTTTTCACAGAAAGAAAAATGAAAACTCTGAAACCTTAATAAAAACAATCTTGAATGAATTAAGTCTCCAAATTTGTTTTAGCTCTATCATCCTGAATACCAAACAGCACAAAAAGTGAAGGAAAGTAGAGAGTGAATAAATTTCATTACCTGAATCTGACACGCCGCAGCTCCCTAGTGCCATCAGTTAGTTGTCTGATGGTAATGTAAACCCCAGGCTGATCTTGCTCAACCCATTCCGATTCCATTTCACTAGCATTGCTGATTGAAACTGAAGCCTCGTCTCTAGAGGACGTTGTTGTCCTTGATGCATCCATTGATGATGTCTCACCCTTTGGGCCACTAGTAACATAAGTACTGGACCCAGCGTTGTAGTGGTGGCTGCCTCCTTGATCTGGAGGCTCTGGTGGGAAATTCCCTTTACTGCCAGAAGGTTTATAATAGTTTCTTGGCGTCCATTCTTTGTTTAGTGATGAAGTTATAGGACTCTCCCTGGCCGATCCTAGTCTTGAGTAAGAAGAATCTCTCTGCATTGCAAGAATATAATTTTTGTAAGCTATGGGGATTTTGTATCAGTTCATTTGCAGATGGATATAGACACAAATATCACTAAAAATTGTAACAATTTTTGCAGTTAAGAGGCAGGAAGCAACGAAGTCATTCAAGAACGCAATCAGGAAAACCAACAAGTTTGTCAGTACTAGTAGTCAGAAGATATTTTTTAGAGTGTTTTCCTTTCAGCTCAATTTGCTTCTTGATATAATGATATATTAAATTGAGAGAAGAATTATAAAGGATTAATAACTTGGAATCTCTCTAACCCCTGCTTGCTATAATATTCCAAGTTTCCATTAATCTTCTTGGTCATTTGGCCAATTTAATTGCAGTTAAACAGCAACAGTTAATATGATTTCCTCAAAATAAAAGGGCTATGACAGTGGTCATGCTCTTTGTAATGTTTGAGAATAATGGCAAAACTTTTAGCATAATACCTCAAGAAGGATTAACTGGAAAATTGGACGTAAAATGGGCGAATGGAAAATGAGACACTTGAGATACATCGAATTTCCAAGAAAGAAAAGAAGCCATATAGCAAGGGCAAGTTAAAATTTGTTTCATGAAAATTGAATGGCTATGTGGTGTTTACATAGTTCTTAAAAGGGCAAATTCTCATTTGGAATAGGAACATTACGAAAGTAGGAACAAAATATGGCCAATTGAACACCAATATTTTGGATTTTGTAGGACAAAAATCTTCAAAATAACTGTTTGCACAAAAATCTTCACCACGTTTAGTTAAATTAAGGTATATCCAGATATGCTCTAATCTGAATTAAAAAACAAGAACCTCCTAAAATACCACTTGTCTGCAGTCTTGTCCCTCTATACTGCTATTTCTGCCTAGGGTTATCCAACTATACAAGGTCCAAAGGAAAATAGTAGATCGAAATATCTACTGAGGAAGGATGCAGCCTGACCTCTTTTTCAGAGGCAATAAACTTAGACCTCCTATTGGGATCCACTGCAATGTTTAGATTACAGAGCTGTTTCCAATTAGTTGGGAAAGAGCTCACTAAAAAGACTATAAAATGGACAAAGCTTGTATTGGAAGATAGGCAAGTGTGATCTGTCATGAAGATTTGGAATGGTCAGGACAGAAAAAATGTCTATTGTGGATACTGGTTTGTGGTTCAGGACCTGTTGTACATTCATCTTATCAAAGAAGCAGAAAACAATGAAATACATGACAAAGTGAAATTAAAATGTAGAAGTCAAATGTGTTTTACCTCGTCCTCAGACCTTGGGGGAGTGTTAAGAGCTTGCCGGTTGAATCTCTGGACATTATAGAGCTCCATGATTCTATCGTAGTTCTCACCCCACCATCGTTGAGCTTGCCATTTGTTAAACATCTCCCGGCTTCAAAACGTAAATATCCAAGTTACTTTAGTATTGAATCTTAAAAGCAAAATAAATTTTAACAGAAAAAAATTGTAGATACACTCAGCAAGTTGGCATCCAAAAGATAGATAATTCGTTTTATATCTAGATCTGAGAATTTTTTTGGTGAGGATAGATTCAAGTAGGTCCATTACTTCACTGGTCAGACAAGCTTCCACATGCATTACATCAGTGCATGTGGGTAGGTCTAGTCCATGCAATGGTTGGGTCCAAAATATGTGACCACATGTCAATGACTATCAGTCTTGATAACTCTTGTCTTGGATCCTTCAGACATGGGAAGACTAGCAAGATATCAAACAAATTTTTTAGTCAATTTCTACCTTCCAAAGCCTTCTAATTCTAAGAAGTGAAAGGAAGAAATTCAGAGCCTGTGCTTCAGTTTGGATTTATCTAGATTGTAATGTGATGCTTGAGCTATAATTTGAAACCTAGCTAATGAAAAATGCTATAGAACACTAGTCTACCTGAAGCGGATTCGTTTCAGATCATTCCCACCATTAGGAAGTGAAACAAAAGTAATTTGAACACCAGGTTCCACCTGTGCCATCCATTCCTTGGGCTCATCATCATCCTCTAGCACCACTTCACCAGTCCGGGCGGAGATAGATTCTAATCCTCTAGGGGTCCGGTCACCGCCATATGCCCCTGTGAACCTCGAATCAGATCCACCGGTCCGGTGACCTGTGGTAGTGAAATCCCATGCAGGTGTTGAACTCGAGCTTCCTGGTTGCATGTAGGGGTAGGGAACCCCTTCTGAAATTGTATCAAAGTCTGGGAAAGATCGTTGTCCTTTCTTGTAGTTGCTGGAACCTGTACAGGGTTTGCATTGCTTATAGGCACCCGACATTTTCAATGCCATGTCCTTGATCTGCATTTTGTTGAAATCAAAAGTTAACTTACCATATGAATTGCTGATCAAAAATAAATATTTGTCATACAAATTACAAGGTGTATTTAAATAAGATATTGCATATGAAATCAAAGGATTATATGATAAATTCTTTGAAGTATAGATTCAGACTTCAAAGGCATTCTGTGAGCTTTCAATAGACTTTCAGCCAGTTTCAGTAATTGGACATACTACATCCATAATATAAATGTGATCATGGCTAGTGTATTGGGAGATGGACAATATGGAAAAAAATTGATGATAAGAAAAATTAAGCACGACTCAGAACCAATGCATGATGGAGATTGCTTTCTTTACTACTAATGTTTACACAGGTTGATTATGTGTACATTAACAACTGCAAACCTTTCCATGTGAACTATTACTTGTTCACCAAAATCGGACGATGTTTAAACTGTAACTTCTAATGCATATATTTATTGTATTTTTTCATGTTTTCCTATATGTCGTGAGTTTGTCCAATGCTCAACAAGCCACTGCATTAGCAGTACAGTAACATTCACTCTGTTTGGTTTCAGTTTTCAGAATTCATTTTTAAAAAAATTCTACTTTTTCATTTTTCGTATTTTTTTTTCACTGAATTTTTTTAATATTTTAAGCAATTTTTTTAATTTTTAGACATACCTAACATAAATACACTTAACAAGTATAATATTTGTGAATTTTTTTAAAAAAAAATTCACTAAATATCAAAAATACCAAAAAATAAATAAAAATTCAGTATATTTTTTTGTATTTTTATGTATTTATTAAGTTTTTAAAATATTTTTTCACAAATATTTTATTATTTAGATACATCTAAGCAAGGTGTATCTAAAAAAGTAAAAAAAATTGCTTAAAACTTTAAAAATATTCACTTAAAAAAAAAATACGAAAAACAAAAAATTCAATTTTCAAAAAACTAAAACCAAGCACACTGATAGTTTTTTGGTAAAGTTTATTCAGTTTTGCAATGTAATTGGTTAGTAGGAAAAAATGGGCCGGATGCAAAAGAATTGGGAAAAATTTGTTCCTACGTAATCAATAAAGGAGAGGGATTTACTCCTAGATTTTACAGTAATGTTAATCAATAGGAAGATTTTTTTTATTGGCAAATTAATAAGCAGATTGATAACATCAAATATCGATAGAGTGAATGGTTACTATGTTCTTTCATTGTCCAGGAGTGGCTATCTGTCATCTATTTCTAGTCCCCTTCCCAAACTACCCAATTCTACCTCTTTGTTGGGACCCTTCTCTTTCGCTATTTGCTTTCATTTTTTTTGAAAAATACTTATTTTTTTTTATTATCAGTCTTTCAAAAAACATCCAACTAGTTTATTTATTCTTTATTTTTCAGGAAAGCCTAGAATCACTGAAAAAATGTAAAACTCATAATTATGGAGTCATTTTCTAATTAGAAGCACTCTTTAATCTAGAAACCTATCATATATATTCTGTAGAGGCTTAGGAATCCTATTCAAGTAACATAATAAAGAACAGACAAGACCCCCCATTAAGTCGGTCCTCCATGGTGAAAGTAAAATTGGCAATTGCAGTGTATTAACTTATTTTGTTCTTTTTGACAAAATAATTCCCAAAAAAAAAACCTATGAAGAAAAAGGAAATGCATAGTCTGCAACTAGCCAACACTTTTTCTGGTTCAGGAGTCGAGCTTTGGATTGTATAAAGCATCATAGCATCAAATATGAACAACTGTCCACATTTAAGGAGATTGCCATTTGGATGCTTAACTCCATCACATTTAACAAATTAAATGCAGCTGTGTTCCATGTGGGAAATATCAGAGTCAAAGATGATGGTCTAAAGAAGTTTGAAATTCCATTAATTTTTCTTTGGTTTGGTCATAAAATTCACTTCACTGGGCATTGGCAGGGTAACAATTTTCCCTACTCCTGGCAATTGTGAATACTTTTGCATACAATTTGGTAGACAAGGATTCAATGATGGGTCACAGTATGGACACTAGGATTTGTCTTTCTCAATACGCTTATTCTCTTGTCCCACGATTCCCACTAGGACATAGCATGCGACATATTGTCACTACTACTGTAATGGAGTTGCATATTCTAGGAAGAAGTTACCATATGATCCATCTCCACTACCTTTCTGACCAATTAACTAAAACCTTGACTTAGGCAAATTAAAGAATTATTATGGTTTGAGAAAAAAATGGGATTCAGATTTTCTCTGTGTACTTGCAACTTGCAAGGATTTTATCTCAATATTTTGATTTGAAGAGGTTGGTGGGAAGCATTTGGCCACTAATTCTGGAAATTGTCCAATGAAAAACAAAGATAATATCACTAGAGGTGGACAAAACTACACTGTTACCAAGTCCTATCATCAAACCTGGATTCTGGAAGCATTATGCTGCCTTGCAGAGCTTTCAAGAATGTGGCGTCGACACTTTCAGACACGTGTTGGACGCATGTTTCAATATGTCCTCTTTCTAATTTTTTGACTCGAACAGCTTTGGACGCTAAGGGGTTCATGTGCCTACCATTAAACATACATGAGATGACTATTGTAGAGGGGAAAGCGCTTAGATAGGGGAATAACCCATTTTTTATTGAATATTTTTTTCTGTGCTTAAACTTATGATGCATTGATGATAAAAAAAACAATCTACAGTCATATGTAATAATCACTACTATTTTGGGTTTAAGGAATTAATGTTATGTAGTATTGTTTTTAAATAAAAAAATTCTATACATAACATATAATAAATATATAAAATTATTTATTTTGAGCCTCTTGACATTTCGTGTACTATATTTTTCAAAACTATTGCATTCGTGTCATGTCCTGTTCTGTGTGGGCTTTTTTGGTCATCACCTTCGTGAGACTATCAAACAAATCCTGTTGAAGCTTTTTCCTACCAAGGGACACGTTGTTTCTTTTTCACTCTTACAGACACGTTTTTACTTTCCAATCACAATCTTACTAAAGATCTTAGAAAGTATATTGGTGAAAAAACTGAACAATCTTACTAAGTGGTTGTTTGGCATGTGCTAAAATAGCACATACTATTTTAGCACATTATCCTATTTAGGTCACAATCATCTTATTTAACTCATATGACCTCTCTACCACATTACTTTAAACCCAACACATATTTCACGTTTTTTTGTAAAAAGTCAAAAAATATACTAATCTAATACTTCCCAAACAATCCCTAAGCATCGTTACATCTAGTACACCCAATTGCTTTATACGAGGACCCCACCAGAGGGCCAGTAGGCGTATGACCACAATATTTGCTTACTTGATAAATTAAAATTATATTGGGTTATTTATCACAAATTAGTAGTATCCAATGGCAGTAGTGAAATTTGAATACTTATGCCTACAAATCTTTTCACAATTCCATATTCAATCTCTCCTAAAGCTAATTTAAAAACCAAACATGGCCTAAAAGTTCCATCCACTATTGACCTACAGACAAACTAAGAAGATTATGACCAAATGAAATTCAGCAGTAGACCCAAAAACAAAACTATCATATAATGGATATCAGTTTCAAAACAAAGCATAGTTGCAGGTTTGATTCTGCTCAAAACAAAGATACAAAAATGCTCTGATATTTCTAAACGTAAAAAGGACCAAGAGTTAAACCATTTAACCAAATGTGAACCATGTCACAGTCAACCAAGTCACAGACTTGGTTGGTGTGTGTGTCCTACGAGAAGCTTTACAACCTGTGAACTCGACATGTGTTTGCCCTCTCTCTACAGGACAAAAAAAGAAGATTTTTACTGTAGGAAAATAAATTCTACATTTGCATCATAGGACTTTTTCCATTGCCCATTCAAAGATCAAAAGCTTTGATTACTGTGCTAGCTAGGCGAACCTAACGTTTTCCTTACTAGTGGACGTAACTACTCTAGCAATAAACTCACCTATAAAATATATATTCTTTTAATACAAAAATGCTATAGTATAGTATTAGTTATGATTCTTTTCAACCACCAAGCAATAAATTATAAATATTTTAATAATGAGTCCAGAATAATGTTTGTTAAGAATAAAAATAAAAATTATAATTTCACACCATATTTGACATATTTTTATTTATTTATATACATATTTTATATATTTCAATAAATTTTTTACTTAAAACAATATCAACAACCAGCCATTGGTTAGAATTTCCTTATAAAAAAAATTGACACACAACCCAACGGTTAGTCACCAAGCAATAAATTATAAATATTTTAATAATGACTCCAGAATAATGTTTGTTAAGAATAAAAAAAAAATTATAATTTCACTCCATATTTGACATATTTTTATTTATTTATATACATATTTTATATATTTCAATAAATTTTTTACTTAAAACAATATCAACAACCAGCCATTGGTTGGCATTTCCTTATAAAAAAAAATTGACATACAACCCAACGGTTAGTTTTTCATATGTAAATAAATATGTCCCACCAAAAAAACGTCAATATGAATAAATGAAAAAATGGGGCCTCTTAAAAGGCACGGGTGTAAATATATTAACATTTTACAATTTTCGTCTCAAATTATTTGTCCATTACGAAAAATGAGAACTGAAAAATAATATATTCTCATGTCAAAATTATCAACAAAAAAAAAAAAATACAAATGTATGACAATATATTATTTTTTTAAGTTTTCATTTCTCGGACAAATAATTTGAAACAAAGGGGTTAGTTTTTTTTTAATATTAATAGATGTGTTAATTGATGTTTAGGTGGTGTTTGGGATGATGATTATTGGCTAAAATAGTTAATAAAAAAAAGACAAAAATAATTAATAAGATAAAATGTCACATTCTACATATCAATCTATCACTTTTTTCTCTCACAGCTATCCATTCAACTACGGGAAAAAAAAAAAAAAAATTACGAATCATTTCAAACACAACTTTGTTCATTGACTAAAATAAAAATAAAAAAATTAATTAAAATAGTCAACATCTCAAGCAAAGGTAAATCTTTCTAAGATCATCTCTAATCCTTTATCATATAAATTTGATGAAAAACTAATGAAAACGGTGCTTCAACCGTTTCATCAGTTTGCTATTAAATAAGAAAAGCGGTGCTTTATTTTTATCAAATGAAGGAATCTTTTATCTTTTTTATTAAATTTGCAGGTGAGTGTTAGACCAGACGTCTCTCGGACAACTAGTTTCGAGATGGGTTGATGAAAAATTACTCTAGATGCACAACTGGTTGGTCGACTGGCCATACTTGATGAAAAGTTAGAATATACAACAATGCTAGGTATCTTAAATTTTTGTGACTCAAATAGCTCAAATTACTTAAAACAACGTCGTTTTGACAGATTTTAAGTATAAAATGACGTCATTTTAACAAATTTGAATCATAAAATTTTGAGTTACCAAACATTTTTCTAAAATATATAGTGTCAAATCAAATTTTTATTTAAATTTGATGCAATATCTGATGACCAAAATAGATTAAAAAAAAAAAAATTTAACTTTTTTAATGTATTGCCAAAATAATGCAGAAATGTTTAACGGAAAAGTGCTTTCTTTATATATATAAATAAAAAAAAAAGTGGACCATACGCATATGACACACTGGAATCATACGCATGTGTGTATGTATTGTCATATAAGATGAAAAGTGGACCCAGCATCTCAAAGCAGAAGGCCGTGACTAGTGATTTTTGTTTGTTTATACAAACAAGGAAAGAATGAAAAGAAAAGTAAAGAGAGACTGCCAAAAAGCAAAATATAGGTCTCGGAGAAGAGAGGGAAGGTGAGAGAGCATAGGATTAGAACCTGCGTCGTCAGGCTTTTGACGGCTTCTTTTGTACTTGGCGTCCCACGCGCCCCTTCTCCGCCGCCCTCTTCCTCCTCCGTCGTCCTTTGTTTCGAACACGTAATACACGTCAGCATTTTCTCTTTTGCTTATTTAATCACTTTTTTTTTTTTAATTTTATATTTTTTTTTACCTGCACACGAAAAAAGAAGTAAACAAATTAACTACTACAACAAAATATAAAGAGAAATGTTAGGGGTCATGAAAATGATCATGAAAGATTTGTGACTTTTAAATTATCTTAATTAGTGTGTAGTGCTTTATTCTAAGTATAATTCAAAAGTTATAAATCTTTCATAATCATTTCATGAAAGACTTTTCATGATAGCAATGCTGAAATATAAAAGAAGAAACAATTAATCCATTACAAATTTCATTCTTTTCCCAGGGGTATTTTTGTCAAATAGTACCAACCACACTAGATATTAGAACATTCTTTGTATTTCCAAAATAAAATAATTAAAAAAAACCTCGGTAGTCCTGTTTGGTTGCCGAGAAAACAGAATGTTGCAAGTCTGGTGACCGAGAGCAAACAACAAAAACTTCGCTGTCTGATTGTCCAGGATGCCAAACAGGTTTTTCAGAGAAAAGAAAAAAGAACTGAAGAATTGGGTCAATAATTGATTGGAAAAAAATTTGAAAGCAATCTCTCAAAATGAGTGTGATGTGTGCGTGGTTTGATGTGCAGAGACCAAATAAAGAAGAATAAAGGATGAGATTTCTGTATGCCGAAGTTTCTGACGAATACATTATAATATAATAATCGATTCTCTTCTGTTTTTTTTCCTTCCCATTACATTTGAATTTTTCATTTGCGGTTAAAATAACTTTATTTGGGATGAATTTTTTAATTTTTTAAAAAAATTTGTAAAATAAAAATAAAATAAGACTAAAAACAATTATTTTATCTTTTTACAATTATTTTAGGTTCCAAATCATCCCAATGCACATGTCAAATTAAGACTGAGGTCTTGTTTGGTAAAATTATTTTTTAGTTTAAAAGTCAAAAAAATCATTAAAAAAATTAAAAAATTATTAACTTATATAAAAAAGTCAAAGATTTCATATTCTCTCTACTTTTTACACATCTTTTATAAAAAATTAAAAATTTATCCCAAACATATTAATTTTTTTACATCATATTTTAATCAAAATATTAAAAAATTACAAAGTTCCAAATCATCCCAATGCACATGTCAAACTAAGACGGAGGTCTTGTTTGGTAAAATAATTTTTTAGTTTAAAAATCAGAAAATCATTAAAAAAATTAAAAAACTATCAACTTATATAAAAAAGTCAAAGATTTCATATTCTCTCTATTTTTTACACATCTTTTATAAAAAATTAAAAAATTATTCCAAACATATTAATTTTTTTACATCATATTTTAATCAAAATATTAAAAAATTACAAAAAAAATATGTTCTCAAACAAGACCGGAGTCATTATAAATATATACATATTGAGTCATTATAAATATATATATATATAGAGAGAGAGAGAGAGAGAGAGAGAGTCAGGAAGAAGAGCAGCAGCAGAGTAGAATCGAATCTCCTTTGTAGCGGTAGCTTTGTGATGATCGAAATCGATTAAAATGAAACAAACAATGAACAATGGCTTTAATAGAAATCAATGTTTGCGTACGAGGGCGTGGAGTGTCGAGAGTTGAAAGCGTTTGTTGAATCGACAAAGAGACAAAAGAAGGAAAAGCACACTTGATTGGCTGGTCCTTTACAATGCCATTTGCACCAAAAATACTGCCGACTCAAATATTTTATCAAATGTGAGTGTAAAATTTACATTATATACAACTTATGGGTGAATCTCACGTCCATACAAAATATTTAATAAAATATTTGATAAAACATTTAACCTTACAGACATTACTCTTTACACACATTAACACCTGTCCCTCGCTCCTTTACTCTCACTCTAAAACACTCCAAAACAAATCCTTATAGTCCAAATCAAACTGAATTAACAAATATATATTTATATATAGAACATAGAATCGTTGACATGAACACAGTTACACAGGAGAAAAAAATGATATCAAACAAATTTTGACACAAAATGAAGAACAATGTTGATAAAGGAAATCCAAAAAATGCAAAAATCGATTAGAAGAGTCATAGAAATGAGAAAATTACTGTCACGAAAACGCTTCTAATGCAAACAAAAACAATCCAAAAGCCGAAAATTGTCTCAAATCATCAGAGTCTCGCA